TTTTTTCTGAAAACAATCTGTAAATTGCATATTATACCTTGATGTATTTGTATGTTCTCTAATTCAACTGGTTACACCCATCTTGTAGCCTACTGCACTGGCCTTCTGTTGGCTCGCCGTGTGCTCAAGATCCGTGGTTTGGATCAGGAGTACGAGGGCAATGTTGAGGTAAGATTTGGCCAAAGATTTAATCTTTTTTTTTTTGCTGATGTTGCATTGGTTGGGCATTTCTAATGTTTCTCTTCGTTGATTCATCAGGCCACTGGCGAGGACTTCTCTGTTGAGCCTGCTGATGAGAGGAGGCCTTTCCGTGCTCTCTTGGATGTTGGCCTTGTCAGGACTACAACAGGGAACCGTGTCTTTGGTGCCCTCAAGGTATGTATATCTTCATTCTGATATCATGATGTTATATTGGGGTGATTGTTTGTAGTTAGCTCATCAAGAATAATCATTTTTTTACATGAGCTTGCTGTATAAGTCATCTCTTATGGTGACCGAGCTTTTTAACATTTGCTGTATTTTGTTGCTGCAGGGAGCTTTGGATGGTGGCCTGGATATTCCTCACAGTGAGAAGCGATTTGCTGGTTTCAAGAAGGATGACAAGCAGCTGGATGCTGATATCCACCGCAAGTACATCTATGGTGCCCATGTTGCTGACTACATGAAGGTGAGTTGTGCTTGCTGCTTATCACACCACACATTTTTCTTTTCCTTTGTTCCCTTGTAAGTTTATTTCAGAAATTGTTGACCGTCCTACATCACGACATTATTAGACTAGAGGCTGACTAATTTCTTCTGCTCTTTATGTCCCAGAACCTTGCTGAAGAGGAGCCAGAGAAGTACCAGTCTCACTTCAGTGAGTACATTAAGAAGGGAATTGAGGCTGAGGACATGGAGGCTCTGTACAAGAAGGTCCATGCTGCGATCCGTGCTGATCCTTCCGTGGTCAAGTCAACCAAGCAGCCACCAAAGGAGCACAAGAGGTATAGTAGCTACCCTCCTTATTTTTTATATCTATACACCATATATGGTCACCATAATTCTATCGTTTGCTCTGCCCTTACCTTTTGTGTGTTTTCAGGTACAACCCCAAGAAGCTGACATATGAGCAGAGGAAGGCCAGCCTCGTTGAAAGGCTCAACCAACTCAACTCGGGTGCTGCCGATGATGACGATGAGGATGACGAGTAAAGTTTAGTCCCATCAAAGTAGTGCTATCTTATGAGGCGATCAGTACTTGTGCTATGGCATTTATCCTTACCTGTAGTCCTGCAACAGGCATTTTTGTTTAATTTTGGTGATGTGAACAAAGCTGTTTCTGTTAGTTTCGAGCTGGAGTTCTGGATATTTACTCTTAATATTAAAATGCTGCCGTTTGGACATGTTTCTTCTGAGTCCTGCTTGTCTTCTGGTTGCCTTGTTAGATGGTGGCAGATCGTGACTCTATTATCAACCTTATGGTTGTATTTTTTATTTCATGGTTGATTAATTTGCTTATGTTACCAGAATGTCATGTTGTTTGCGAGTTAGGTTTTGCAGGTGAAGCCAATACATTAGGAATGGCGTTTTGCAGCGGTATTTCTGCACTTTGTCCAGTGGGTACCACATAATGTGAACAAAGAACCTGTTTCTTCGAGTTTGGAGGGAAATTCAGGTGATGCCTGATTAGTTTGTGGTGAAGTCAGTTTATGGCCGATTATAGTATCTTAATTACCATTGACATCTCTGAACGGCCAGTTCGTTATTAGTAATGAAAAGATGTTTTGGTATTTTAGATACCTAACTTTTGCTATGGATTTAGACATACACTATGTCTGGCTATGGCATAGTACGGCTGGTTTGTTAGACAGCCGAACTGAGCGGCTCGTGGTCTATTCTTATTCGATCTATTATTGTCTTATTAGTCGATCTGGGTTAAGCTTTGTGTCTGTGCCGGGTGAAGGAACCGTGTTTGTGTTTCGGAGGGCATTCTTTCTCGTACTAATGGAATATAAAATATATAGAAAATGACCTCAATAATGTATTCGGCTGATGATTTGTGTGAATGATAAACCGGCTGATGCTATTTTGTTGTGAAAGAAAAGCACTGGGCTGTTAAGGGTGGATGCCGCCAGCTGGCTTCATTCTCTCTAGTTGAGTAGGTGAAATCTATACCAGCAGTAGATTCATATAGCTATAGCATGCCAAGAAGGGCAGCCGAACAGGCCCGTTTGAAAGCCTAGTACCACCGGCATCCACAATCTTCAACCTCATCTCAATCTGCATGAGCTAAACCTATAGCTACTAATAGTTGTTAGTTTTTTCTCTCTCAATACATAGAGCGTACTTCTACACAAAATGCCATTTCAAGCAAAACCAAATGGAAGGACATGGACGCAATGCATTGTCGCATTCACCAACGACGGGAATCATGCAAACTCTGGACTATGCGCCCTTCTGAGAGCCAGGTACTGTGAAAGCGGACATTTCCTGGAGGCCCAGGAGGGTCCTGGCGTATCCTGCACTTGGCGATGGCAGTCAGGTCAAATCCATGGATATCCAATGGCGTTACCCGACGGCCAATAACACCAAGAGGAACACTTACACGTGCCGCGGAACTCATGGATCCAAATACGGGCTTGTGGGATGATGAGCAATTGGTTCCAGAAGTGTTCTGGGAGGAAGATGTGCAGCACATCCTGGCGACGTCTGGGGGGCGGTGCAGGACGTGCTCACAGCAAAGACAATGGCTTTTGTGAGGACGCTAGAAATGGCGACTGATCAAGGGATACCGCGGATCCAGTTAGAGATGGACTCATCTTTGCTGAAACAAGCTATTCTCTCGTCATCCGTGGACTTGGCTGCCAGTGGGATGTTGTCAAGAGATGTAGTGAAGCATGACCACTTCGTGTGTAGCGAGGTCATTTTAATTCCTAGAGTTTGTAACTCGCTGCGCATGAACTTGCCAGTCTTGGTTTCAGTTGAGACCCTGGTGAGTCTTGTGTCTGGACTCTAGACAAACCCTCTCCCAGAGTTTGTTAAACAGTTGGTAGCTCGCGATGTTGTCGAGCCTATTGGTTCAATAACAAGGCCCCCGTAAAAAAAAAGCTAAAAAAACGAGTTAGGTTTATTGTGGTAAAACCAGACCCCTTAACATTTCATTTAGCAAGCATGTTTATTTTTTTTGACTAATTATTTTTTTGACTAATCATTTTATTGGTTGGTGGCATATGTCCATGGGCATATAAGGAGACACCTGCAATGACCTGGTCAATGACCTGCATATGTCTATCATCACTGTAACATTCTCCTTTGAATAATTTCTTAATCATGCCAGGATATGCAGCAATGATACAGGCTACTAGCAAGAGAACGGAAGGTTACACTTTGCTTGCACACAGTTTTTTGGATTATTTCGGCTGATTCAATAGTGTTGTGTGAGAGAGAATAAGCTAAAACAAGTTGAGACTAGACAGGAAGAACAGGCTGAAAGCCTAAGCCTAGATTTATCCCTACCTCCACGCCAGTTACGGTGGGAGGAGAGGCTGACTTGCAGAAACATCCTCTTTTCCTCCGCCCTTCTCCAAATCGATTTACTTGCGCAGAAATGTTTTAAACCTTTGAATGCGACACCTTTAAAATGTTGGTACACGCGACAAACAATCTGCTTGAATCAGCAGGATCCTCATCCTTTGATTATTTCCGTTATTTGACAAGGATGTGTTTTGTTAATATCACAACTGTATAATGGTACAGGCGTCATTTTGCCAACGCTCAACTTGTACAGAGTCCTAAACTACTGCAGCTTCTGCGCATGTGTTCTCTGATTATAGGCTACAACTAAATCTACAAAACTGGATGGTTAATGGTACAGCTCCAAGATCTGAGTTCCACTTGAGAAGGCCAAGCAGGCCAGGAACACGAAGCACAAGCAGAACATCATGGACCCGAAGTAAATGTTCCTTTCTCACTGTGCTTGAGCGAACTTACAGGTCATCCTCCATCAGTTCATCAGGGAGATGTACTTTCTCCATTGCAGACTGCCAAACATCAGACAAGCAAGTCAGAGTTATTCATCCCTCCGTTCCAAAATGTAGGCCATTTTAGTTTTTCCCTAGGTCAAACTTACCAAGTTTCACCAAGTTTAAAGAAAAATGCACCAATGTCTACAATATCAATTTAGTTCATTAAATCCACCATGATATATTTCTTTATTTCATATTGTTAAAAAAAGTTTTACAGGCGTACCAGGGATCTGTCACAAGAGATGGCAAATTAAAGCTCCCGCTATTCTTTCGTCCTTTTCATTAGATGGTCTAAATTGCTAAATAAGAAGTGGTTAGAGAAAGATCTCCACACTTTGTTGGGCAGTCCGGATGTTAGTGGTTCAAGCCACTAGCTGCACAGCATCTAGAATAGTTGGCTTTGCAGTTCTTTGTTCGAATGGGTGGTTGTCAACAAGACATACTGCCATGCTTAGTCAAAATTTTATTTCGTTCAATTTGCTCGGTTGCATGTAAACTTGAATTTTTGAAGTTGGAGTGGGCCTTCGGCCGGATCTTTGTAGATAATTGGTCGCCGATATGAAATATCCTTTATCTAAAAAAAAAAAAACTGTATAATGGTACAGGCGTCATCGAACGCTCAACTTGTACAGAACTACTGCAGCTTCTGCGCATGTGTTCTCTGATTATAGGCTACAACTAAATCTACAAAACTTCCGGTCGGTCAGAGGTGGTAAATGACTGTGACTCTACCGCTTGCACCAGGCCCGCCCTTCTTTATTTCATATTGTTAGATGTCAATATATTTCCAATAAACTTGGTCAAAGTTTGTTTTCCTGAAAACTTGGTCACAGCTATAGAAACTCGACTTAGGATGAATCAAAACAACCTAAATTTTGGAACAGAGCGAGTCAATCGCAAATGGTGTCCATATAACATGAACAGTAGAATAGTGATAACAGATGAATTTCACTTAATGGCAATTTATAAGGTAACAGTTCAACTAGCAATGATTGCCTCACCACTGCACGAAGATACAAAGATAAATTAAAAACAGAAAAACAGGGTGGATAGCGGTAGGACGGATATGGAAAATGAGATTGTGCTATACCTTAATTATAGCAAGATCAGCAGCAGGAGGTTTCAAATCCAGGGCAATGCCAAAGCAGAAAACAGCTTTGTCAAGGATATTGAGTTGCTTGTAAATCTTTCCCATCAGTGCATACATACTGCTCTCATGACGTGCAATCTCCTTTAGACGCTCCAACTCATCCAGAGCTTCTTGATACTTCTGAAGACCTAGAAGGATTAAGGCCTTCTGATACTTGGGCAGTGGATTCTTCTTATCAGCTGCTATAGCTTTCTCCATCATTTCCAATGCCTCCTCGTTCCTCTGACAAGTTTGAATCCAGACAGAAGGTTCATTTAATCATTGTCCAGTTAAGATTTTGAAGGGGAAAACAGAAATAGAGAAGTACTCCATCCGATTCCATATGTAAGTAATTTTTGGACTACAACAACCTATATTTGGAATCAGAGGGAGTAGTCTATTGTTGTCGATCAATGATACCAACCTTAAGAGAATGCAACGCCATCCCAAGATAGCACATGAGAACAGAAGAGCGAGGATTTATCTGAAATGCCCTTCTGAAATGATGCTCAGCAAACTCAAACTTTTCCTGGCGAAGATACACCACCCCAAGTCCATACCAGGCATTGTAGTGCCTTTCATCTACCTGCAGTGCACACCGGTAGAATTTGATACTATTCTCATAATCCTCCAATGCAGAATACCTACAGTTTAAAGGAATGGGGATCAATTAGAAATTTTGAAATGATTGTCTCGAACATGAATTTTCAGGATGTAGCTTCAGATTTGCACCAGTTATAAGATCTCGAGAATGAAAATAGAAACATAATGAATATTTATGAGAGGCACAACATACTCATGACCACAGAGAGTGTGAGCATATGCAAATCTTGAGTCAAGCTGTACCGAACGTTGAAAATTCTTCAAAGCAGTCTCATGATCTTTCCTCAAGGCAAAGCAATTGCCCACTGCACACCTGTTGCACATTCCAGACAGATACATTAGAAAATGAAACATGAGGACCCAGCTTTCAGACTAAAGGCTTATGATTGTGGCCTAGACACATCTAGCTGTTTTGTACTGCAATGACACCAACGCTGCATCAATAACCTATCCCCATCAAATCCCCCCCTCCCCCCAACACACACACACACACAAAAAGTTACAATATGGATTTTAAAAATAAAATCGAAATACTGTGGCAAGAAAAGGCCCCAACATTTTCACTCTTTCTGAGATAAAACTACATACCATGCTTGAGGAGATAGTCGATCAATGGAAATAAGCTCTTGAGCCAGGTAGCTTAGTCTCATTTCCTCATTCAGATGCTGCATAAGACGTGTGTGAGCTTGGAGATAAATGTAGCCAAGCCCAATGCTCCAATTTCACTTACATAAAGAACAGTAGAATGGACATGTGTGAGCTTGGAGATAAATGTAGCCAAGCCCAATGCTCCAATTTCACTTACATAAAGAACAGTAGAATAGATGTCCATTCCATCGAGCGTACAAGGCGACAGTCGGTGTGCCAATTCAAAGTAACGATCAGCTTCCAAATAATCAACTAATTCGAAATATGCCTTACCAACCTGCATAGTCGACCAAAACAAAAATAAGCCACAAGCATTTGCTTGTCAAAAGAATTGAATTTACAGACCTTTCTTTACGTTCATATATGTAATACCTAATATATAAGAGACACTACATTTTTTTAAATAAAGGACTAAAATGTAGGATATTGGCAATGTTTAAGGGACTCGTCACTTGCATTAACAAAGGTTGGTGCTTGAGTTTTAAGTTAACAAACTGCCAATTCCAAATTGACTAAAAAACCTGATAGAGAGCAATAGAAACTATAATCTTAAACTCCTAACGATTAGACACCATAGAACTCGTTATGTCATCGGGTTCACTAAAATTAATTTACAATTTCAGATACAAAGGAAGAAAACAAAGTTGCCTACAAAGTTTACATGTTAATTTGCTGGCAAAGATGTACTCCAGCAAGTAATGTCATCAGCAGTTCTTTCATTACAAGAATCAAAAGCATGTTTGGAATTCTCTAATCATCTTGCATTGACTTCACCTGGCATAGAACCCATCCAGTGTTAAACTGCGACTCAGGGAGTTTTCTGTAGACTTCCAATGCTTCCTGAACAATTAATAATGAAATCAGTTTAGTGGTATCACTAGGTACAAGGTCACCATCTTTAGCTAAACACCCTATATCATACCTGGCACTTAAACAAGCAAGAAAGCCTAAAACCTTCCCCGAGTGTTCGGAAAAGTCCCAATAGCTCCCTAATACCAAGTGCCAATTTGGAGTCTTGCAACAGAATTCGTTCAGCTTTATCTTGCTCAAAGGATCTTCCATCAGCTGTACTTACAGAAGATGAAGTTCCTGATATATTGTCTGTCCACATTTCATCAATGACTTCATATCTACTTCCTAAATTTAAAAAGAATCACCATTCATAAAGACAGTTGAGCAAAAAAATGCTCATCCATATACTGACACCTAATGCAAAAGGTCAAAACTAAAAAATACATTTTACCAAATAATATTGTATCAACGCTAAGGTGAAAGCGTTGGAGATAATCTAGTCACAGGGCAATGGATACATTTAGTACTCTAAATGCCGGGGTTACCAAAATAGGGTTTTATTATGGTGAAAAAAAACCTTGCTTCAGTATTTTATCCTAATAATGACGTAGTATTTAAAGTATGAATAAGAAGTTCATTTCTAAATCAGCATAAGGAGAAATCCCTATATTAAGACCATAGATGAAAATACATTTGTTAGGCAGTTTCATGCTTGGTTATTAGCAAAGCAGTATCCTAAAAGTTCTACAACTTGGTATCATAACTGAAATTTCAAAAAGAAGAAGAAAAGAAATGAAATGACAACCATATATATGGCAGAAGAAACAACAAAACAATACTACATTACTACTACCAAATATGATGACATAATTGTCTAATGTAAACTAATAATTGATAATGATATTAAGTAAAATATGCCAATACATCCTGATCACTGCAATATAAAAACACACCAACCAAATTTGCCTACATTTATTCTGAAATTTGATGAATCATCCACATTGAAATGATAATCACCTTCATCAAAATTTTCTGTAGCCCGTGGTTTTCCTTTCCTAACTTGCACGGAACGTATGGCTGTTGAACACAATTTTGATGGTGTGGACGAGTTTACTCGCAATTTACCTGACGAATGACCTGTACCATTCCCTCCAAATTGAGAGGTATTTGAATTTGAATTTGTTGCTGTATCTTTAAGTCTTACACTTCTTCGAGGTATTGAAGTTGAATCACAATTAAACAACCTTCCGGAAACCTGAAAAATGTCGTCAATTCTAATATCACCAACAGTGGCGGAGCCAGAATGATGCATCAGGGTATTCCATATAAATACAATTGTGCAATGTAAATATGCAATAATATATAGGACCATATAAATGCATAGCAAAGAGGATTTGGTGTGAATGTGACTTGGAGCTATTGAAGTGCCTGAACCGTGACTTGGGGCTCTTGGTGGGTTTCAACTCTAACCTACCCCAACTTGCTTGGGACTGAAAGGCTATGTTGTTGTTGTTGTTGTTGAAAGAGGATTTGGTGTGAATGTGGGAGCCTTTTTCTTTGTCTTTGTAGCTTTCTTCCATAATGCAAGGCAGGTATGCTAACACCTAACATATATTTTTGTTTCTTTAACCAAACACATACCCGCTGGCACCGCCCCTGTCACCATAAGAGAATATCAACAGAAAAGAGTACAAAGGAGGATTTACAGACAGATCTCAAATCTACCGAACAATAAAACACATCCTTTTTCAATCGAACAAAACCAAAAGGAAAAGAAAGACATTCAATGTAAGTACAGATTAAATAGTTTTAATACCATTGTGTATTATATCACAAGATGAACTTGCGACTACAAGAAACAATACAAAAATAGACTTAGGATTATATTGATCAATTTCAGTGCCTTGTACTCCCTCCAGTAAAAAACAAATTATGCTTTTGACATCAGCACGGTCTCTAAAAAACACAAAAACACTTTTTTGTTACAAAATATTTATTAAACATAGCAAAAGTATCTTTTTATGAAACTGCATTTTGATCCAAATATCTACTTGTATCATTTCCAAATATCTAAAGTTGATATGTAGAAAGCAATTTAACCAAATTTTAGAATGGTTGGCTTCAGGCAACCCCAAAACACCCACTATGTAGAGAATGTTGCAAAAGAGTATGCAAACACAAGAATGACACAATGATCTAACCATTATGTAAACATCATCAAGACGAATGGTATTATAAGGCATTCTGAGTTTTTGAGACCATTGTTTGTTGCTGGTACACAAATGGCACACTAGTACTGAAGAATGAAACTACTTGCAGCCAAACTTAAGTTTATGAACAACAAAACCATCATGTAACAGCAAACAAACTGAAAGACATGACTGATCCTGACACTATGTACTACTATTGTAATAGATGATAACAACGAATCCAGCACTATGAATCCTGATACAAGGGATCATCAATGTTAGTTTACTGAAACTTCAAGGGAATTCATATTTAAGACATTTCATGATCAGGTATGAGCAAGTGGAAAATATCAACATGCCATAAAATAAAATAAACATAAACCAACACATATGTCACTCTGACATCCTTTTCAGATAAAAGTCAGGGGAGAAATGCGAACTATAGTGATAGATAGGCCATTAAAAATCATGAGAAAACCATGGAGGTTCTAAAGATCAGGAAATAGGCAGGTACAGAAGTTACAAGTAGCGGCATCCAATGATAGCAATCAAATGAAAGATCCCAACCTTCTTTAGCCTTGCTTCATCCATGTATTTCCTTCTAAGTGGCTGGTTTACTCCATTAGCTTTCTGCTTCGTGGGAGCATCGCCACTTATTGTATTCTGATAAACATGGACATTCCTAAAGAGTGGTGGTGGCATGATACTAGAAGTCTGCATAATTAAATTAAGTCAAATGGAACTCAGCCGACAGTAAAATAATATCAACAACAACAACAACAACAAAGCCTTTTAGTCCCAAGCAAGTTGGGGTAGTCTAGAGTTGAAACACAACATGAGCCCCTAGTCACGGTTCAGGCACGTCGATAGCTTCTTTCCAAGCATTCCTATCTAAACAAAGATCTCTAGGTATACCCCAACCCTTTAAATCTCTTTTTATTGCCTCCCTCCATGTCAGCTTCCGTCTTCCTCTACTTCTCCTCACATTGGTATCTCGACTTAGGATTCCACAATGCACTGGTGCCTCTGAATGTCTCCTTTGGACATGGCCAAACCACCTCAACCTATGTTGAACAAGCTTTTCTTCAATTGGTGCTACCCCTAGACAGTCACGTATATCATCGTTCTGAACTCGGTCCATCCTTGTGTGACCACAAATCCATCACAACATACGCATTTCCGCGACACTCAGTTGTTGGACATGTCGTCTTTTTGTAGGCCAACATTCTGCTCCATATAACATAGCGAGTCTAATCGCCGTTCTATAAAACTTACATTTAAGCTTTTGTGGTATCCTCTTGTCACAGAGAATGCCAGATGCTTGGCGCCACTTCATCCACCCTGCTTTGATCCTATGGCAAACGTCTGCATCAATATCTCCATCCTTCTGTAGCATCGATCCTAGATAGCGGAAGGTATCTTTCTTAGGCACCACTTGACCTTCCAAACTCACCTCTCCCTCCTCATGTGTAGCGTTGCCAAAGTCGCATATCATATATTTTGTTTTAGTTCGACTTACTCTAAAACCTTTGGACTCAAGGGTATGCCGCCACAACTCCAGTTTCCTATTAACTCCTGCCTGGCTTTCATCAACAAGCACTATAGTAAAATAATATCATAACTGAAGAAATTAAGTTGTCAAGAACAACTGAATAAAAATTGTGTAAAACATTTCACCAGTCAAGACACAATATAATTCCCTCAGTGCAATAGAAAACCAACTACTATGAACAATAATTATGATCGAGCAAGCAACAGTGCCACACAGCTCTATATCATCAGAATGTTGTTCACGAGACACAGATGATAGATATTTCCTAAGGGCGTACTCGGTGTTGAAAGCTCCCACACAAGGTGGGATCTGGGGAAGGGAATGCTAGGCAGCCATTACTTTGCTTATTTTGCAAGGAGGCCGATTGGAATCCACAACGTCCAGAAACAAGTGGAGACTCTACCACTGCGCCAGACCCACCCTTCTACTCCCTCCATTCCAAATTACAAGTCATTCTGTACTAGACATAGTGTATATGTAGATGCATAGCAAAAGCTATGCACCTAGAAAAAGTCGAAGCGAGAGTTCGGCCGGTATTGCACCCTAGAAAAATATTTTCCTCTCACAACAATCACATTTTTTCAGTCCTGCCGGAATGGAATGGAGGGAGTACTTTATTGCAAGGAAAAATGTTTTTCTTTAGAAAAAGGTAAATGGGTCAGGATAGATGAACAAAACAAGAAAATTCTGGGGTCAGGACAATTCTTGAAGGTCTAAAACAAGCCATCTGAGCCAGTGTCAAATAATTGGAAACATAAGAGACACCAAGGTCTAAAACAAGCCATCTGAGAGAGTGTCAAATAACTGGAAACATAAGAGACACCAAGATACCAGTGCTTTTTAACATGGTTCTACCAACCGCTGATTACATTTAGTCTCCTATTAGGTGCACATTGGCAGAAAATCTTAAGTGAAGAATCAAACATGTTGTACTGACCTGTGCTGCAGTTGGTGATGGGGTGTCAAACTGTGCTACATTAGAGGTTGAACTGTTCTGCACATGCAATGCAGTTGGTCTTACATGAGGGTAGCCAGATACTTCTGCTATGTTGTTAGCATGAAGCTGTTTGATTTGCTTAGGACTAATATCCCCAAGACTTGCAGAGACCCTGGATGATAGAACTCGATTTTCATTGGCGAAGTTCGACTTCACCAGAGTGGGCGTGGATGTGTGTTCCTGCTGGAGACGTAGAGCAGTCGATTCACTAAAACACTCATCAGTATCTTCAGCAATACCTATAAGATGAAGACACATTTTTAATGTATGTTTATGGCTTCAAACTTTAAGTGAGGATGACTCCTTGCAAGCAAAACGCTAAGGCTTAATGAACCATAGTGTAACTTCTACGGTAAGGCAAAAGGAAATACTGCACACCAGGAATGAGCAAGTAGCAATGAACACCAAGCTAATTGATGATGATTGAAATCCATCCGGATAGAGAATTTATCGCAGTAATGCTCAAGTGCTCTGATTTTACAGGAACAAACATATTTCTACATGTTAACATAGAAGACAGCAATATATGAGGAAATGTCTATGAAGGCCATATTCAAATCCACTAGATGTAGCATATTCAGGAACGCACATTCTGCAAAATCACCATTTCATTTCTATTTCTACACCTTCAAAAGTTAAGATATGAGGCAATACTTCATGCAACTAGTTCTAATATATCAGAATTAGTATAGACCTACCACAGAACTTCATATATGGGTGTAAAATGAACCAACCTAATATACACAATTCCTCATATGCCGCCCATAAAAGAGGATCTAGAGTCAACGCTTGTGTAAATTGTTCAGCTGCAGCTGAAATTCTGCCTGTGCACCTGTACAAAGTTGAGATAAATATATAGAATCTGAAAAAAATTATAATATGCAGCATCATGCATTCAGTTAAGCCATGAACAATAAACCTGTAAATCACTCCAAGGAGGTAGTGTCCTGTTGCTCCACTTGGAACCTGCAGAAGGATGAAACTAATACTAGAAACAGGTGAACCCAATACAGGAAATAAAACAAACAAAGATGTGATTGATTTTATTTTCTCACTATCTACTTCACCCCTGTAGAATCAGTGAGCAACCTCAGCTGAACGTCATGCCCAGGACTCCAGGAGAAAAACAAATGAAAAGAGAGAGAGAAAGTTTCAAGCCAATCCATGCGGTGCAAGCATGTACCTTGTAATACTAATGCTTCTCTCGTATAACATAAAACAACCAGAATTTCTGACAATAAAGGGGAACGAACATACATACGGCTTTATCCTTGGCAACAAATTTGGTACGAAACACCGCAAGCAAAATAAAACGACCAGGCCTAGTATTATTTTGAAGGAACCAGGAAATGTTCTCACTGAACTAGCTATGGAATTTAGTTCACAAACCAACAAGCACTTCATGCACCTCCCTTTATTCAAAACTGGAACCCCATAAGGAAACTAACTATTGTTATCAGTATTTTATTTTCAAACTAATGTAGTGCTGCCAAGTCCCATTGGAATATTGTGCTGTTAATATAGTTTATTACTGAGCGAAAAATACTTTGCTGCTATAATACCACCACACTGCCTTCTACACAAAAACAGAATCACTCAAGTTTTCACACACCAATTTGTTGTACAAAGGCCAATGCATAAGATATTTACATAAACAAATCATTTTAAAATATGATGTATACCTCCATGTTTGGTTCATTGACTGGACATAGAGTTTCTTCTGCTTCACGCAAGAGGTTCATTCGAAAGCATGATGTAGCAAACAAGTACCGGGACTCCGGCAGCTTCTTCCCTTCATATCACATCAGAAACAAAATCTATAAACCATCCAAACTACTCTCATATAATATCTGTGTTACATGGTGAGCATATGCTATTACCTTTCAAAACGTGGTATGCAGCATATGGCTGATTGTTGTGGAGGTAGCAGGTCGCTAACAATTGCACATTGGTCTGTGCAGAGGAGGTAGAGCAAGAACATTTAGTGCACACTGCTATGTTGCAAATGGACTTAATTTTTTAAAAAAAAACTAAAATAAGATTTTCCGTGAGCAAAAATTACTAATTGAAAATAAGTCCTTATAATAGTAAAGCAGGCAGGATTCAGGTTAATCAGTGAGGTAACATCCGCTAAGAAATTGAACGCATACACATGAAGCACTAAACACGCATTCACGTTGTGTTGATCTTCATCCCACATGAAGACCCATGAACCACATCGAGGACCCAAATAAAAATTTAAACCCAAAACCACGCATTCAAGTTGCGTTGATCCTCACCCCACATGAAGACCCATGAACCACATCAAGAACCCGAATTAAAATTAAAACCCACACTCTCAGGTAATTATAAGGTCAAGAAAAGAAAAAGGGGTGAGCATGTCCTGTAAGAACATAGGATTCAAGCAACCTTAGAATGGGCTACAAATATTGTCACCCCGAGATTATGATAAGGAAAAGAACCCGGGCATAACACGTCACTGTAACCACTAGCCCATTATGCACTAACATCAGTAGAGCTTCTACCTGTGAAATTGCCTCAAAAATTTAGGCAGAAAATCACCCTCTCCAGTCAAATTCACTATGAACCCTAGATGAAAAGCGCAAGATACTCCAGTTCAAATTCACTATGACCTCTACAACAGCTACAGGGAATCGTTCTAATTCAAGCCTAGATAAGCCATAGACTCAAATCTCACCACTCTACTCCTAATGCAACCCTAGCCACTTCAAAAAAAAAATCACAAAATGCTACTAAATCGAACTGAACAGCGGAGGTGAGCCCCCGCGCCCAAATCACTGCCCCACGCCCGATCCGACCCCAGACGTACCATTCCCGCGCGCAACCACACCGAATCGAGCCGCACTAGCCTCGTTGAGGAGCAGGGAGAGAAGGGGGCTACCTCGGAGGGGAACTGCGCGCAGAGGCGCTCGCAGAGGAATATGGCGTTGCGGTGCATGAAGAGGCGGAGGCTGCTGTGGACGCGGTCCACCATTAGGGTTTCCATCGCCGCCCGGCGGCGGCGGCGAGCGCGGGCAGGCGGGCGAGAGCGAGGGGAAGTGTTGTGCGGTGGCCGAAGCGCAGGCGGCAGGCGCAGCAGGGGAGGGTCCGGTCGTTTGAATCAGCCGTTTGAATCCAGGAGGCTCTTGGTTTTGGGTGCGATGCGATTTGAGGGATTCGAACGACTGCTGTGCCCGTGGCCCCGTGCGTATGCCGGCGGCGTGTGAGTTGGCACAGCGCTACGGGTACAGAAGAAGCGTGTAGAGGAGTCATGTGCGACAGGTCGCCGACAAGTGGGCCGTAGTCTTCGGCTCCGAATATGTGAACGTTGGATTGGATCAAAAAGCGGGGTCGGGAGGTGGTGTTCTCCGAGATCGAGAGGTTCCTACTTCCTATGCAGGAGGGGGAGGCAGAGTTGCGCACTGTTTGTTAGACTTTAGGGGGGTGTTTTTAATACTCCATGGCTGTATCCCATAAAAGTTTGATGTGATGAAGCATTTCCATCTTCAGTTTTTGGAGTACCTTTTTAATTTTGGAATTTGGATGAACTAAACGCTCCCTTGGCTCCATGCATGGCGCTCATGGCGGGTTTGTGAAGTAGCGTTTAGAGCTCTCACAACTCCACCCTTTTTTTCCCGAGCAGTCGTGGGCTGAAACTTGGCTAAAAATGTGAACGTTGGATTGGATCAAAAGCGGGCGGCCGGGAGGTGGTGTTCTCTCAAGATCGACCCTTTCCTACTTCCTATGTGGGGGGGGGGCAAAAAGCGTTGCAGAGCGAAAAAAGCGTATTAGGCTTATAAACCGTATTTTTTTGGTCAATGAACAATATTTTTCTCTCATAACAAATCAACCAACAGTACTTTCACTATGCCTTATCAGCCAAGCGAACAGGGCATTGGACGCGGAGGTCCTACGAGTGGAGTGCGGCGGGCACTCGGCGCGCGACAAAGCAGAGTTGATGGGAGACGGCGGCGGTCGACGGCTGAACGGAGTCCGACACTTGAGTCACCGAGGGCATGATTGCTAGGGTGGCTGTGGTCGGCTGGGCCTGAGTCTTGTCCTAGGCCAGCCACGGTTCGGCCCAAGGGGTGCAACCCCTTGCATGGTTTCCTGTACCAATCCGACATGGACCATTTGAGATGTTGTTTGATTTCCCAGGTGGAAGCCCGGCTGAGGACCAACTACCACCAACTGTCATTTTGAGATGACGTTTGGTTTGGGGGCAGTGTCAGCCCGGCCCATAGTGAGGAAGAACAATGCAAATTGATCAAAGCAATGACCACATCAGCATTTGAATATGTAATGGAGTTGAAATACAATCACAACAGTTAGGAAAATTTAAGTATCTCACTAATAGGCCTCAGACATCATCAATACATAATTTTGTACCATAGCTGGCTCCAAGTTACAATGAAAAAGCATAATTAGGACAAGAGAACACGAACCACCATCTCAAGTTTGCAGAGGAAACGAACAGATTGTCACAGGTCTGAGAAATGCATTAGAAAAAACAAAATGACATGGAGCAAGCTAAGTAACCTTACAAGTCTGTCATCATCGACCTAAGAACTGCACTTACATTGATCCAAAGTCCAAAGACCAGCAGCAAAAGAGTAACAATGATCACAGTGTTCCAAGAAACATCCTTATCATGAACTGGTGCCACAACATTCTTACCATGGACTGGTGCCATGGTGGCACCAGTTTGAGATGGGAACAAGTTAGGAGGTGGTGGTAGAGCTCCAACTCATGCATTAAAATCTCTAACAGCCTGCTCATAGCTACTATACTTCTTGTGTCTAGCATTTTTTACATCAAGAATTTGCTCACTGCACTCATGGCAGGTATGATAAATACCAGGTTGCTTCCCATGGAAAACCACATAGCAAGGGGCCATTTGCTGTCAAATGAAACATTGGTTTAGCCTCAGTCAAATGTAAGGAATGAAACTTGCCATGAGCGTGGAATTTGAAGATCTACGGTTTGGGATGAACCAAATCGTTGATCTCAAGTCCCTCACTTATAACCAGCATTATCAATATAATTACATGACCATGAATGTACAATGTAACAGATGGCCATGGGAGACACCCATAAAGTGGCAGCTGTATAGCAGTACCATGGAACAAGCACAGCATGGATGTCTCTCATGGTCATGTAGCATCAAATAGAGCATAATGGCGGCGACAAAGCAGAGTTGACGAAAGACGGCGGCGGTCGGCGGGTGAACTCGTTGATCTCAAGTCCCTCACTGATGACCAGCATCATCAATATAATTACATGACCATGGATGTATAATGTAACAGATGACCATGGGAGACACCCATAAAGTGGCAGTTGTATAGCGGTACCATGGAACAAGCACAGTATGGATGTCTCTCATGGTCATGTAGCATCAAATAGAGCATAACCATGAACACAGTAAGCATAAAACATGAAAGGAAGAACAACATTAACATTTATAGAGCAGTTGGTCTCAGCCTTGTCTAATAATTATTACATAAGCATTACACAACCAAGTTTTCCATACCAGGGTGATTAAACTGAGTTGTACAAGAAATAACATGCATGAATTAGGTCCTAGAGGTACCCCTACCCTCCCACATTGCTGTAATGATGGCATCCCTCTCAGTGGACATGCCCTGGGAATCTTGAGACGTCAGCTCATGTACAGGTTGACTATCATGCTGGTTGGGTGGCAACCAGTCCTCTGTTGGCACTACTTCATCAATGCCAAAACCTAGAATCCAGTTGTGAAGAACGCAACAGGCTAAGACAAGCTTAACCTGAGTCTTGTAAGGGTGGAATGACTTGTTGTCTAAGATCCTAAACTTGTTCTTCGAAGCCCCAAAGGCCCTCTTAGTTGTGACCCTAAGTGAAGAGTGCCTTAGGCTGAATAGTTCCCTTGCATTTGTTGGGAGGTTTCTGCTGCCATACTCAGACAGATGGTACCTGACCCCCCTGTAAGGAGGGAGGAATCCACTGCGGCATGCATAACCTGCATCTACAAGGTAGAATATACCTACAAGTGGACCAAACAATGCCTAATATGAATGTTTGTGCATGGTTAGGACATAAGTGTAGTGGACAGCTAAGCGAGTTACCTTGAGGCACAATGAACCCATCATTTCTCTCAATGGCATCAGCAAGGATGAGGGCATCATGTGCTGAGCCTTTCCAGCCAGCTAGTACATATGTGAACTTGAGGTCAAAGTCCACAGCAGCCATCACATTTTGTGTAGGGTTGTGTTTCCTACCCCTGAAAGCCTGTTGCATGTGTCTAGGCACCCTTACCAACACATGGGTGCCATCAATGGCACCTACACAGTCCTAGCAAAATTGTACAAGTGGGATAAGCAAAGGGGTTCACATCTACATTGAGTTATGGCTTAACATTTCAATTAATAGTTACCTGCATGTAAGGGTTCCATCTATGGCTCCCTAGGATCTTTGGATGTATGGCTAGTGTAGGAGGCTTAATCAATTCATTTCTAAGCTCACCAACATCATACAGAACCTGGTGAAAGTGCCTATGAACAGTCTTAATTGATCTCCTAGAGGATTGGTGAACTACCCTAAAACTTTGGTTATGTCCAACTACATGGAGAAACATTACAACCTGCTCCTCAACTGTGCAACCAGCTGTTTCAGGTACAAGCTCCCTAGTTCTAAACAAGTTACACAAAGAAAAGAAAGGAGCTCTTCTCATTCTTAACATGGTAATGCACTCAACATCGGTGGAGTTATAGATGGCCTGCAAGGTTTGCTGCCTATGTTGTTCAGCATCACTCTTTAGTTCATACAACAATGGGTCAGGTTCAGACCTTGACCTCTTCATCCTAAACACTACCACAGACACCATGACAACTACCATGCCAACTGCTTGTCTGGCCATCATCTCACGGGTTTCAGATGGATCCATCTGCATGCATGTACATTCAAAGATGAACTCAGTTTACATAACCCTGATTGGCCTCAACATGGTTGTGCAAGCATAAAAAAAATTATGGCACGACTGCATGTATGAACATGCCTCCCCAGTGCAATGGACATCATCATCAACCATGGCAAAAAATAAACAAACAACATTGAACTACAAGAACATGAACAACAACAAGCAAACCCTAAATCCAACAACATATAGCTGAAACAAATCACATGTACTGCTCACATAAAGCAATAATAAAGCACCATGTAGTACCAAACCAAAACCCTAGCATCAATCATATTAAAAAACATAGGGATTTAGGGGCCGATTTCACCTTGGGGTGGTTAGTGTAGGGAAAGAGAAGTGCAAAACGGAGAAGAAGAAGACGAGGCAACAAAGAGACAGTAGATCTGGATGGAAAGGAGGTAGATCCGGTCCACGCCACCACCTAGCGCAACACCGGAGCCGAGGAAGACGAAGGAAGAAGACGGCCACCTCTCGAAGTCCAAGCGAAGAAGAAGGTGCAGCGTCGAGTCACAGCAGATCCGTGGCGGGGAATGGAGATGAAGCTCGCCGAGAGAAGAAGGGCGTCTCGCCGGACACCACCACACCACCTCCACCGGTATCTCATAGGAATATAGCAGTGGAGAGAGAACGGTGGAGAAGGAGGCTAGAGGAGGAAGAGAGGTCAATTTATAGGTGAAGGATTCGGCGGAGGAGGAAGCACGCGTGGAGCTTTTATGGTTCCCACACTAGCCCGCGTGAACCACCCGTCGCATGCCCAAATCGCCCGCCATGCGCCGCGCTCAGCCATGCCCTAGAAAAATGACGGATTCAAGCGTACCATGGGAGCCAAGCGGAGGGGGGGGTTGACCATAGGGAGACAGGCTGAGGGATGGGCCAAGGCCACCAAACAAGTGAACTGCACCCTTTAGGGTCAAGATGGTAGACTAGAGGGGGGGGTGAATAGTCCTTTCTAAAATTAATCATGCCGGCTTACCGAAACAAATGCGGAATTAAAACTATCGATTTAGCCAAGACTACACCTCTCTATCTAAGTTCACAAACACCTTATAAAG